ACACACACACACACACACACACACACACACACACACACACACACACACACACACACACCTGAAATTGATGAATTGTATCGCTGTCTTCTTTTACGTAGTCACAGCCTTGTGACTCTTAGAGCTGCATGGAAGAAAGGCTTTGTACGACAGAGTTAAACTGTTGCCCAGCCCGTTAAAGTTCACTGTTTCGAAAATCTCGGATCGCTGCATAATGGACGCTTAATCGGAAGGCACGAATCACCTGACGTTTAAAAGTCTGCAGCTCAACAGAACGAACGACGATTTTGTAAAAGTATCGATCGTTCTACAATTTTTTACCTTTAAATTTAATTGCTTAATTTCCTCTCTAAACTTGGAGCAGGAAGTAATGTTCTATTTTTCGCTACTTAATTACCCTGCATTTGTTTTATCGTCGTAACTCATTTAACATACGGCGGATTTTCGTCGACAACTCTTCTCTAAGCATAACAAGATGTATCGATTTGAATAGCTTCAGATCTGGCCGAAGTAAAGGGAAAGTTTGTGACCATTGACAGGTCGGTTTGCGTAACATTTCCTGATGGATAGGAAATTTGGTTCCATTTGTGGCCGTTCATATGTTTGTGACGATTTCACTAGGTCTTCTTTTGCACTTGAGCAGTAACCGTTGCTTTAATAACGATGTCATCATCTGCCGCTCCCTAATAACATGTGATCTCTTATCTTGTCTCCGTTGTTGCATATTCAGTATCCTTTGCACTTGAGATGAAAGACTCGACCAAATTCAAACGTGCATTTTCCACTGCATATTCGTTGGGAACTCTGCCGACTCATCATCTGTCCCAAAGCCCTCGGATCAGTGACAGGTCAGATGTCGATATGCTTCGCTATGCTTTTCGAAAAGGGATTTTGAAAGTTTCCTTTCAGAAATGCTTGTTTTAGACTGTAGCGAACAAATCGCTGTCAGAACTTCGTCCTTTCGCATCAGTATGAAATTACTCGTCTTTCACCCTCGGCAGTGAACACTTGAATACCATTATTTGACAAATAAGCAAGCCGATAGATGCCATAGTTGTCGTGTTGCTGCTAGGAATGCTTTCAGCTATGAATTAGGACAATTCTGACTCATACTACTGTTCTGGTATTCGAAATTTTACCCACTGAGTTACCGTGAATACGTCTAAGCTGTGAATTGTTTATGATGGCTGAAACGACCGACTAACGAAGCTATGTATGTATAATATTGTTAGAACTGTCTGTGCGCTTGTCTTTTCGATATATTGCTGCACTGGTAAACGGTTGTCTGATGGGAACAGTGGAGGACTACTATCCCTGTTCATTCAGCAGGGAGGCTTCGTTGCATTCTGCATACTTGTCACTCCACTGGACAGAAAACAACACTTGGATTGGACTGATTTTCGTCTGTCATCAGCTGAATGACTCCTGTACTTACCTCACCAGCGACGCTTACGAGGTAGTGAATGTACAGTTCGTTTCGATTTACAGTGTTGAATGTAGCCTACCACCATATCAATCATTTTCAGGGGATGCGTGTAATTTTAAAATGCACACCGGCTACCTGTTGAGTCGTTCACTGAACGAAAGCGTGCGTTATTTTAAGCAATTTAATAACAACAAGTTCTAAACTGATCAGGTTGCTTAGACGGGTTTTAAATGACAGCTTTAAGAGCAGTGATGACTCACGAGCGGGTGAACGAAGTTTTTCATCGTCTTTCTGTTTTGAACGAACCGACTCCTCTTTCGTTCCCTCGAAAATTTCAAATAATGCACCGAGAAGCATTCGAACGTGCAGTGGACGCGTAGAGAACTGACCATTCCGGCTTTAGATTTCTTACTGAGACACTTCTGTCATACAGTGGTTGATTGACGTCGTGTAAGATCACAGTCGAGTCTTGTGTATACTCTCGATACAGCCCAGTTAACTTGCCCTGCAAAGAAATAAAAAATATGGGATCATCGTTTCTTTGCTTGATCACCATGATAGAGTATGGAGAGAAATGAATACACCGAGAACCTGTTAGAAATGAGTGTCACAACCAGCATTGCATGTTTCATTGACAGTGTGACACTACACCACATCTTCGGTATCGATCACTTTTGAAGAATTCTAAGAATGTGTGGAGAAGTTTTGCATAGGACTTGGGTTCGCCCTCGAAGCTCTGGAACGAGCTTACTTCAAGAATATGAGGTGTGTGGTCAGCTACTGGGAGCATGGCGGGAGGGGAAGATTGAATGAATTTTGAAAGTGAGTGGCTCGAATTTCAAAACGACTTGAATTTTTTTTATTACCTGCTGACTGCGTTGAGCCACAAATTCGTCTCACTGGGCTTCCATGTAACTAGATTAGAAACTTGCAGCAAGTTTCTGACATGGAGCGAATCACAGGAACAGCATTGTGGAATAGTCATACGAGGTTTTACGAGAAACACGGCCATACTGTCTGATGCCTACATTTTACGGCTTCAGTTCATCTGAACCCACTAGGTAGATTATTAAAACTCTGTACAATATTGTAAATAAAAATGATTAATTTTTATTTACAGTAAGTCTGATTCTTTGCATTTGACGCGACTACCTCTGGGGGTGATTCCTTCATTCGTTATCACGCCTGGATCGTGATGTCACGGTCAGTAATCGGCTAAGAATCGCGCCTGGCGCAGTGTGGCCGCCGTTCCTCGCGGCTTTGAGCGTTCTTCCTCCAAGCGCTCCGTATCATGATATAATATTTCCACCGTCACGGTTTAGCCGCCAAGCTGCCTACCCCACCCTTGATGGTGCCAGTCAACGATCATCGCTATCCATTTCCCGTTTTTTAATGAGTGCCCATGTCTCACAGTCATTCAGCATTGCCAACGGGACGATAAAATTGAAGAGGTGAGCTCCGGTTTCTTTCCTCATGTTGCCTATGAGGACATTCCTAATGAAACAGAACGCGCTCCAACCGACTTTTTCTTCTTTAAATTTCTCCAACCTGATCATGCCGCATGTTGATCTTATGTCCCAGGTAAATGTGTTTATGGACTTCGATCTTTTCCTAAAGACTTTAGGGAAGACGGTGCCCCTTTGTTTCATGCCTTTTTCTACGGTATGCGTGATGTTTGTGAAACGGCCTGAACCTCTTCTTTCAGAAGGTTGATGTAACTGGTGTCAATGCCCTGTTCTGTTCAGTGCAGTCCAAACTGTCGAACGCTTTATCGTGGTCAACGAAAGCGATGCAGCGAGGGAAATGGTATTCCATTGCGCACACGAGGAGTTGAACTAAGGTAATGGTGTTATCCATTGTGATATAGCTCCTTCCGAATCCTGTCTGTTTTCTTGGCTGTTGTTCATTCAGTCTTAATAGTTAATGGTCTTTTGGTGATGATCTTAGTGAAAAGCTTGTCGACTTATCATTCACAGCAGTCAGGCGATTGTTTGTCAGATCTTCCTTGTACCTTTCTTGAACAACACGATTATGTTGTACTCCTTCTGGCTTGATGGTATGTTTTTAGTTTACATGGGGTAACTAAAGCCGCATGGGAGGTGGACAAGAGCCAATCCGAAAGTAATATTTTTTGCTGTAATGAGAAGTTTGTATTATCTGGATTTAACGTGATGGAGCTTGTCTGCTGGTCGAGTAAAGAACTCCCGTAGATGCTGCTCTGGACTCGGTAGAATAGAGGGGTTTGAACGAATTTTCCAGGTTAATCGAGAAGAAAAGTTTCATGAAGGTTGACAGTTGTAGTACCATCATTATCATTTTTGGAAAAGAAATAACCGATTAACTGCGCTTGTCATTTAACAACATCACTTACTGTCTTTTCATAAAATGACCCACACGTGACCGGTGATGTCTGAGCGGATGTGGGCGAGTCGCACTGTCAGTTTATTTTTGCAACAAGGGTTGCAGAAGCGGTGTGCGTGACCTTAATCGAGGTCTAAAGGTACTGAGGTGTGAATGAGGCTTGTATATCAACGATTAGAAGTTATTCATTTTGTTCTTTTTTGGCTTCCGAATTCCTCTCATTGGCTTTCTTCTGTTGCGTAAGGTTCAGCAGTACCGTTCGAAAGTGCGCACGATTGATGTGCGTTCGCTCGGAGTCGAATTATCCATCAGGTGGTCAGGTTTTGCAGAATTTCATTTTACAATTAATGCCTCGGACGATACTGGCTATCGAATTTTCGGCTATCGGTCGTTTCTTCGTCGCCATCCATTTTGCGGTCGATTCGATGCAGGTTGTTTTTTCTTCACCTGGGAAATGATGAACGATCGCATTTGGAAAAAGCGCCTACGCAAACATTCGCTCATGTTGTCAACAGCGACTTGAACAGATTGAAGTCCCCATTGTGCTAAACCGTTTATCATAATCCGATTCTCTTCTACGCGTTCTTTTACCTTCCTTTAATTATCGATCCATGCATGGAGGATGGAAACGCGGTCGCTTGAGGACGATCGTTATATCGATCGAGGCATCGTCGTCTGCGACGATGGAATGAGGAAGTGAACGTCTTGCTTAGCTCATTTCTATTAACGCTAGTTTTTCATTGTCTGAATCGCATTGCATCACTGCCTACACCGAGCAATTTGGAAGAATGTATGTCCTTATATCAATCTCAGCTGTTCATGCACCATCCCATAAATCCATCATACATATCCAACCTGGGCAGCTCTCCTGTTGAAGCAACAAAGGCCGGTGACTAACCGAGTCTTCCATCGGCAAGTTTGGCGACTGTCGTCGTTTGACAACGTTTTTTCTCTTCAATATGCATATGGTTATTTGCCGTAACTTACGCGTCCATAGGCTCGGTCAATCGCACAGTGTTTTCGTTGTTTCTTGACAGCTTTTGTCATCAGACATATCCGTGGCCCATAGGTTGATTTTTAACTGGTCGAGAGGAAACGTTTTGTGAACGCATTCACCTCGGTGTTGCCGGAGGGAACGTAGTGGCATATCTGTCGTCTTTCTGTGAGGGATACGATTTTTAAGCGCGGTCTGATTTTTTCTTGTTTATCGTTAGCTTCTTTAATTTCGTCCATCTTCTACTGTTCACCTCCAAGAAATCTAGCTTGAGCGCTCGCTCAAATTATTCATCCAGTTTCACAACGCAGTATTCATACTGTTAAGGCAATAGTTTCACACGATTTTTCAAATGTCCTGACTCTTCGTAGCTCAGAAACGCACCGTTAATAATGCTTGTCATTCGTCAAAGTTGCTGGAAGTGGTTTTTGCGACTATAGTCAACGCATCCGCTGTATTGCGTCCTCGCAATGTTGCCGGTAATCAGCATGTTCCAACTTCTTTGAATTAATGGGCGGTGAGATTATTTTATCCTATCATTTGAATGCAGTTGGGACCAGTGCAGTGAGTCTCCAGTCGTCTGCTGTAAATTGCGCAAGAGATTTAGGGATAAGAGTTATTCGTGCCGTCTGCGTTGAATATCCGGCATTGCACCTTCTGATAGGCAGCAGTTGTATAATCCGGCAAAGACTTGAGCAGGTGAGTCGGCGTTAAGTTTCAAGGCCATTGGATCTAAGCTGTTGGACCCGCATTCATGGACGCTTTGATTTATAAAACTGCCTGCTTAAGCTATCAGCCGAAATATTACAAGACCACATTTGTTTCGCAATTTACAAAGAATGCTTCCAGCAAGTTGCTAGGTGGATAAGTAGTTGTATCCTCATTTTTGAACCGTAGAAATTGGTTTGCAGAGATCCGCATTCAAGGGCCTGTGTTTTGGCTTCTGATTGCGTAGTCTGTTGGTCGCGTCCCATTTAC